CTTACATTTAGTATTTATAGATTTGTATTCAGTTAAGATAAAAAATGAAAATAAAAATATTTCACTTTTGGCCAGGTTTATAGACCAAATACCCCTATGTGCGAGCTGGCGCGGCGGGAGCGGCGTTTGAATATAGTTAGGTTAGGTTAGTTAATCAGGTAAATTTCCTCTTAATTAACTACTTCCGAACCCTGCTCGCATCTCCGAAAAAGCCATATAACAATACACGGCATATACGCAAAGTTACGCATCACGTGTATTGTTATATGGCTTTTTCGGAGATGCGAGATGTGAGCGATATGTGGTCAAGAATAGGTCCCCAGAGACGGCGCTGGTTGCCGGAAAGCAGAAACCCGCATCCACTATGTTCGTACCCTTACACTTATTTCTGAGACACCCTCTATAATTAGAACATTTAGTACTCAATTGTCGTTAAATAACTTTTAGGTAATTTAGGGCTAATAGTGTCGCACACGCGAACACAATAAACTGAGAAGGAGAGAGAGAGCTAAATCCCAAACATCGGTACAATACCGAGCCCCTCTTCCACACTCCACTATAACTTCTCTTCCTCTCCGTTCCGGGTCGCCGTAAACTTTTGGAATATTAACCCCAAGACGGGGATGAAACAGACACACGGTAAGCTCCTAATTAGCATGGCGAGATCTTAAATAATGGTCCGTATTAAGAAACGTTTAAATAATCTGAGAACAAGCAGGTGGCAAGCAAATTTATTCTCTAAATGCGGCGCTATTCTTCGTCGAGAAACTTCCGCGCCCGCCGCGTCGTCTAGCGGCGTCTCCTTTTAGCCGAGGGGGTTCGGGTCGGACTTTCTCGCTTTTCTCTAAGCCTCCATAGATTTACATAAGATTATTTTAAACTGGCGTGCTCTACTCTCGACGACGGTACTTCCCCTCTTTCGCGCTTAGACAGTCCAATACCTCCGAAATTACTAAGGCCGGAGAAAAAGCGTGCCGCCGCGTGACGTCATGATTAAGGAAAGTTATGATTTTACGCATTAGAATACTTCTCCTCAAGGTGCCATGTAGATGTTCCTACGTAGGCGTTCATCTTTTCCTTCCTCATCAGATGGTTCTATCACAGATTATACTGATTATAAACTTATCGTCAACAGCATTGTTTTTCGTGGTTCCAATTTTCGGAGTCGCGCACTAGTTAGGTTACTAGTTTGCGCACATAGCACGTCCACTTAAGGCCTCTAAAATTGTGCACAGCGCCTGACCGGCCCAGTTATTACGATGTTTAAAAGCGAGTTTATTTTTGCGCACAGGAAATTTTACTCGTTTGCTCATCGTCATAAAAAACAATTTTCGTATCACGACCTAGAGACAAGGGACAATATTTTCATCTGTATACATATAAGTATACCTAATCTGTGGTTTTGTTAAGAGTGCTTGGAAGTCCTGTATATGCCTGTCCTATGACGAATATTTCTCAGCCAGGATAGCTTCCTTCGGCCTTTCCCCTTTTGCCCCCCTCGGTTTTACCCTGGAGAATTAGAGGCCGATAGCATTCTCCACGTAGTATGTGTACCAAACATGCTATTTTCCTCTTCTTGATGATTTCGAAGAGTTCACGTTCTTCTAGACCAGCTCTTCTGAGAATATCTCCATTCCTCACACGGTCACAACCCAGGGCACTCTTAGCATTCGTCGTAGGGTCCACATTTCGAAGGCTTCAATTCTGTTTATTGTTGCTACCTTCAGTGTCCATGCTTCCACACCGTATAACAAAACGGACCAGACATAGCACTTCACCATTCTGTAATGAATAAGGTCGAAGTTCAAGTTCCTATCTGTGAGAAACCTTTTTAGATGTTTCAGCTAGAGTAAATTAACAGATAGGAGTATTAGGGCCGACTAAACTAAATACCCCGTGCTTGTCTGTGATACAGATGCAGTAGTTCATCCACTACCAAGCTCCACAGTAGGGGGGAGGTTACTCCACCTCATGGAATTCCTTGCGTTGTTTTAACAACTACAATTTTGATACCAATCTGAACCTCTGTTGTCCGTGTTGACAGCATTTCCCAAAACCAGGGAATTATCGTTCTGTTCACACCTCTTATTTCTAGAGATCGCTTGACCATCTTGTGGTCCTTGGTTGGCAACCTTCTTTATGAAACATGATTTCAAAGAAACCGAGAAAAGCGCAATAAACTCGCTACGTCAAAGTTAAACGTGAATCGTTAAACGTAATACAAAAATTACCAAAAGACTTTCATTGAGCTTGGTCCCACCTTTTTTATGTATTAATATAAAAATATTATTAAAACTTGTTTCTTGATCTTTTTGTTCCATTATTCTTCTTCTGTATCACTAGCTCTTACAGCGGTCAGCCATCACCACTTTTGTTCAGTTATTATAGTTATTTTCTGTTGTCTAACCGCCCAAAATATCTAATTTTAATGTTGCTGATTTTACAAAGATAAAAATCCAAAATATGTATTATCTATTAACATGGATTTGAACGATAATAGGTAAGAACACTAAATTGATTCAAATAACGCTAACATTTGCCTATAAAGTAGTGTCGCTATCTTAATTTGTATGAAAATATGACATCTGGTTTATCCCATGGTACAAAGAAAACAAGGTATGATCGATAGCGGCCCCAATTTCGTTAAGTTTGCGCATACCACCTGTGACGTCATACGCTATACAAAAAAATATCCATATTGTTCAATTGCCACTTGCCACTAATAAAAAAAGACTTAAAATAGGGAAGAATTAGGACATAACCCCAAAAGTTATGTCAAATCATCGAGCTTGACATTTGAAAAATTATTTTCACATTTTGACACAATCAAATTTCACAGATGACACAATCTGTTTGACAGTTTGAAATTGGCGCGTAGAGCTTGCCGACCAATGGTGCAGTTTATAACCTGTGACATAGTGACCAACCTGCGCAATATCATACCTTGTATTCTTTGTATCATGGGTTTTTCCCATATAGTCTTCAAATGGTCTAAAAATCAGCAGGAATGACCTATTATGCAGTAAAGACACTATTGTTGAATCATTGGTAGCTCTTTTGTGGGCATTTCACAAATAAAATCAATTGTCTCATCAAAAACTGAAAATGCAAAACAGATAGTAAGCTTTATCAGGTTTATAAATATCTAAACAAATAATCATACTCACGTCTATTCATTTCCTATAATCCAACTATATTTTAACCAATATTTTAATATCCTAGCCCAAGTAAATAATGAAAAATACACTTTTTATATCAACAATAGTAACGGGTATACCCAGTTTTCAAGGATTTCAGTAAATCTTTAATATCCAGGATTAAAAAAAACACGATTCTTGATTTGAGGTTAGGTCATTCACTACCAACATGACGTTAGCCACGGGCCACCGGTCATTCTGTCACCGAACTAGTAAGGGGCTGTCTTTTAATATATCGATAACACATTTTTCTAACAGAGAAAAATGCAATTACGCGTGGGTTACTCTCGTTTTTGCCTTGTTTGGCAAAATATCTAAGATGTAACATCTCTGGGACTATGCGTATATTGCTTTCTTTGATGGTCCCTCGAATAACGCTAACATTTGTCTATAAAGTTGTGTCGCTATTTTAATTTCTATGAAATGTTTAATAGAAATTAAAAAAATATTATAAAATTATAAAGTTAGAATAGTATACGGTTTTATATTAACTCTAAGTATTTTGAAGTTTAAATAAAACATTCATAAAAAATATACATCTTTCATTTTACATTTTTCTTTTAAGTCCTTCAATTTAATAGTTGTTAGCAAGAAGTTTCATGTTTAAAATATAGCAAAAGAATTTTTAGGCCAGAATAGAGGAAGCCTTGGTCTTTAAGGTGGTATTAGTGCGTCCCGGTTTAACTTTAAGCCCGAGAGGAGAAAACCTTTAGAGGGAGGCAAGCTGAGAGTTTTCCGAAACTTACTAAACTTTTACATATTTAATTGCTCCCGGTCCTTATCGTCTTTATAATTTCTCTTCCTGTCGCTTTGTTTAAATCATTTAATAGATTAGATTGCGAAAGAGGGCTTAATTAACTTTTATCTACCTTGATTTTAGTGTCTTCATCAAGTTCGACTCGCCAGGTTATCTCGAATTGTAGAAATGGCGAATCGTTTAGTAAATTTGTTGTTATTTGGATACAATTATTGTATCACAGCAAAATAAATTATGTGTAGACTTTATACCGAGTGATCCGAATTGTATTCGGTGTAAGAATGTGTTTAGGGTCATGTAAATGATTACTCGATTGCTGCCATACTAATACTAATTTATTCTACCTTTGTATAATATAAATTTATAATGTTCGATTGATTATTGCTATGGTTGTAAAATATTAAAACTACGTTACTTTAATACTAATTATTGTTAATAGCAGAGTTTACTCATAAGAATAAGCATTTGATTTGGTTGCACCACATCGGGAAACTTCGGCAGTCTGTCCTATAAATGTATGTCCTAAATTTTTTCCCAATAATTTTTTCCAAATTTTTCCAAAAATTTGTGTCTGGGTGTTTTTTGACATGAAACATAGATAAATGAAACAAGTTAAGATTGGAATGTGCCCATAAGGACAATGTAATAACTATTTGGCGCTATTTTTGCAACGGTGGCAAACCAAAGCTTTTGATAATTTCGGATCGGTTCGACTTTTTCCGGAATTATGTCACCAAATATTATTTATTCAAATTTATTATTTTTTTTCTTTTAATTATATAAATAAAATACAGTGTACCAAACCAATTGCCCATTAGTGCAATTCCTCGCCATATGCCATACCATCCTGTATACAAAATATGTAGCACTCATAGTAACTTTTACCCTCAAAATTTTCTTCGAATCATTAAAAGTACTTTGAGACAAAACAAAACAGAATCGGACCTATGTTGATAAGAAAAATAAATTTAATTTTTGCTTGAGGTGAATCTCCCCACGAGAAATGGCACATGTTTTTTATATACTGTATATATACTGTCATTTTGGCAATCAAATATTATTAAAAATTTGAAACGACAAAATTTTATCCCGTTTTTAAAAATTCACAGTTCGATTTCTTCTTAAAGTGTTATATTAACTATGGCCGATGAGGCACCTGCAGGAGACCCCGGTCCCCCAGTAGCAGAATCCACAGGGTACACAATTAATTAGATTTATTCGCTAACAACATGAGATAAACTATAAATTTATTTTGTTGCTTTTTAGGATAGACCCAAATCGCTCTGCTGCATCAACTACAGGAGCACGGTAAGTGATTCAGTTAAAAACTGGTAAATCCTTCAAATTTTGTTCTGATAAAATAAAAAATCAGCTTAAAAACGAGCTTAAATAGTTATTTTTATACAAGACGATAAAATAAATGGTATTTTATCGTCAGTAAATGGTATTTTATCGTCAGAAAAGATTAATCCACGAGCGATGAAATCGCGAGTGAATTCCTCCACTAAATTAAAAAAAAAAAACACGAAACACACCTAATAACACAGTCCAAAATGCAAAATATTTATCATTTCTATTTCACATAATTTGACACAAAATTATAACCCATAATTTGGCAAGAGTTTGACAACTCTCAAAAATCTTAAGTCGAGTTCATACGCATTGGCGTCCGTTCATCGTTCTGTTAAACCAATAATATTGAAATATGATCTGTCGTTTTTGAAATAAACCAATAAAACTGGTTAAAAACAACAAGAGATGACGCATGACGGATTTATATATTAACCCATCCATAGTTAACTTAAAAAATATTAGAAACTTTTTTTATTTGAATAAATGGATTGGTATGGACGTCATCTGCTTTTTTTCTGTAATCGTCTGTCGAAATATTACCTGAGAAAAAAAAAACAGAGTATATTAAGAATTACCTTGGATCTTATAAATCTTATTCGTGAATACATACAGCCTCGACACTAACAGTATTATTTTTACTTCTAATAAAATAATACGTCTGTCCGTGCTGTAGCTACGGGGTATTCGTGAGAGGGGAAACGATATTCTCTCGATGTTTTTCGTAAAAAATTAGACGACGCGTCCCATCAATAATAATTCGACAAATTTGCAAGTAGCCAATAAAATGAGTGGGCGGAGCGATTTGCGGTGACGTACTCGCCAAGTCGACGTATAAAATATATTGCTGTTTATTTAAATGTTTTTTGTCCGCATTCCTTTCATAGACACAGATCCAGCCGACGAAAAGTTTACTATTACTGTTATATTGTAGGCTGGCAACTACAGATCCTCTAAACACGGAATTTCTCTACTACAGTTCTGTGCTGAGGACTTTAGCACCCACATTATCCCAGGAAGGAGATCGTCGAAACATTTGCCCTTGGATCAGAAAATTATATAGACCTGAATATCAAAGCTCGAAATTTAGAGAAAAAAGAAATAGGTAAGTATTAATCCTAGATCATATATTATAATTACGTGGATAAATCAACGCCACAAGTTTAGCATTAAAAAATATGTCTCCAACATCACGACATGCCATTTTCAAACCTTCTTTATTGCACTTATGAAACGTCCAATAGGTTTGTCTTCCTCGAGGACCTTACTTTGCGCATGCGCATTAAAAGTTGCACGTATTTCCAAATATTCACAATTTTATACGGGTTAGAAAGTACAAATTATACATTGTTATGGAAACCAACTTTTCATTGTCATCATATTGTCATAATCTTATTTCCATTGTGTATCGACGAGACGCTTGTTTTTTGAGTTTTTTATTTTAAAAATTGTATTAATGGGCTCTTTCACAAAAAATAAAATACCCAATTCAAGGACAAAATCTGAAATAGAAGACTATTTTCAGTATATTTATCCAAAAAAATTAGTTCCATAACATTGAATAATTTTTTTATAGGCCCTCAAAATTGCTTTAATTTGAAATAATTTTAAAGCGCCAATTGATGACGTATGAAAAATACGCCCAATCATATTGCAGAACCGTGCTCGTGCGCCAGCCACCAACTGGCAACATTGCGATTTGATTTGACCAGCACCACCTCAATTCAAGACCAATCAACATGATATGGGCAAGGCAAATATGGCGGCGAAGGCAGCGCATTATTAAATTGTTTACCTTTAAACTGAAAAGCCGGTAGTGGTTTCTCGTTCCGATTGCATACCAGAAATAATTAATTATCTCTAGTTTGTTGTGCTTCTGCAACACGTTTGTTTAGTTCTTAGTGTTCAGTGCATGGTGTGATCAGAAAATTGTGATAAAATAACAGTGTAATAAAAATCCAAACCAGACATTCCGCATAGGGAACTTCAAATTGTTGTGCTTGTCGTACTCCTCTATTATTAATTAATTTAAGGTAAGAACTAGAAGTATTTATCAAGATATTACACCTGAATGAGTAAAAAGCCTTCACCGCCAGTCTGCATAGTACTTTATAATGGTTACTTACAATAATCGAAAGATAGGTATTAAAGGGTAGGTATTAACATTTTATTGTAGCATACCTTTTACATGCTCTGTTCCAAATTGTCACGAGAATTATAGAGGGGGTCCCAAGGTTTCTGCTTTTATATTCCCCAAAAATGACGAGCTTCGTAAAAAATGGTTGACAGCTATTAAAAGAGATAATTTCACTCCTACTAGTAGTTCTTGGGCAAGAAGTGCATTAAATATGCCTCAAAAAGGCCAAAGGCCAAAGCCTCTGTTACCCTAGTGAGGATGTAGTTATGGCTACGGCTTACACTTACCTCACAAGATATTGACAACATTCACATTTGAAAATATAAATGGCCTGGATGTAAGTCTTTTTTTAGGTCACACTTGCTCCTCACATATGTCAGAATTTATTATTAAATCCATCTTGTTTAGAATATCCAATATTTAGTTTTTTTTATATATAAAATCTTGAAACACATATTATATTTTTTAGTTATGCTCACCTATTATAGTTCAAATTTATTCCCATTTGTCTAATGCTGCAATAACAAAACATAGGAAAAATATTCCATATTTTTTGACCCAAGTCAGTGTAGTTTACACCAAGAGCATTTACCAAGGCTTTTACTAAGACAAGTAACTTCCTATACTGTCCATAATAGTATATATTTATCAAACGTGCAGTAAATTCTAAACTATGGTAGGTAAGTGTCTGCAATTGAATATTTAGTTTATATTGCTATTTTCTGTCATATATTTCTGGTTATTTCTTTTTCCGATGATTTTGAACACCCTATATATGCTACCTCAAGTTTGAATATTTACAGACTAGTACACTACCTACCTATTTTCTGAGAAAGCAGACCTTTTTATAAAAAGTAACTAACTGATGTTTTCATAAAAGTAATAATACAAAAAATTCCATACTTATGTGGAGAGCTTTAGACTCCTTGTATATTAAAGAATTAGTGAAATATTACGTAATCTGACCCGACATTTGTGTGAAAAATGTCTATTTGGAAATAAAACAGGTTTTAAAATACGCCCCAAATAAAGCACTTCTAACTCCGCCATATTGGAAAAGGTTGAATGGCCTTGTGTGGAAGTGGTGGTGGGTCAGCATGGTGGCCCGGCCGTGTTGCCGCTTTTCAACATGCCAGGTGTGACGTATTAAAAATAAAGTGCGGATTTTTATTCTGGGCTTTTTTGTTTTTATTTATTTTCTTAAGAACGACTTCAAATTTTTCGAAAGTGAGAAGCAGAAAATTCTAGAATGAATTGCTTTATTCAATTATGCTAATTCCGAAATATAGGGAAAGAGCTCATTACGCTTTTATCGACCGCTTTTATATAGCTAAGGATGCAAATGTGTTCAGTGAGAAGTTAATTTTAAGTTATTAATTTATTATTTCAATTATATTTCTATTTTTTCTCGTTCGACTTTCTAAATACTCGTAAAAATGACTAGAAAGTGTTTGGTGTGTGGAAGTTCTAATATAAAAGTCCCCGAATTATCTATTCATAGTAAAGTATTCAGTTGTTTTTTTATTTGTATTAAACCACATGGATACTTTCTGGTTAGATTTCCTAAGAATATTGATATTCGTATGAAGTGGCTAAATGTATTTTTTATATTGTTTAATATTTATGACAGTAAACATTGAATTTATTGTTCAAATATATGCATTTTACAAATTACATTATTAAAATTAATGTTCAAATTTGGCGCGTGGACGCTAGGTCCTCGACAAGGACCCATAGAGTAGAAGCACAGCGTGTGCAACAAAAAAATAAGATAAATGGAAGTCGTTGATATGTTTGCGACAGTTTTCATAGTGATTTACTTATCCACGTAAGTAGGTATATAATATTATCTAGGCTGGATACGCATAAAAAATGAAATAAGTTTAGATTGGAAAGTGCCCATAAGGACAATGTATATTAAATACTATTTGGTTTGGCCCCTCTACACCTTGCGTTGGCCATGATATCATGTCTGTAACTTATTTATTTATGTAATTCCTAGATGTTGATATAGTCAATAAGAACAGTTAAGTAAATTTAGGTATTATTTTTTAGGTACTTAAGTTACCTTACAAATTCCCTACTTCTCGATGAATCAGTGGATATTTTCCGAGAGTTCCCTCCAGACGGTGCCCTAGCCGATTTGGAAACTTTCCATCCCAAACCTGTACCAGCTGCCCAGTGGGAGATTGATAACATGTGGCAGGACACACTCCAGCATCTGCCTGAAGAGTTTCAGCTTCTTGAGTGTTTTATCCACGATTCTGCCGAATTGTGTAAACATGATCATGGATATGACAAGGTAAAATACAAACATGCGTCCTCGGAAACCGCCGGGATCTCTGGGATCTGTAATAATGATTATACCGGGTGATGCTATGGCATTGGGAACATTGGAAATCCCACTGACTCCACTTTGTTGTTGCAGGCATGTTTCGGTCCCACTAGAGGCTACTCAAGTAGCATTTTCACGACTTGCGACCACATGTTTACTAAACACAACGTTGAATTAGTTACAAAAAATAGTTAGCTCCGTATCTTGGGTATTAAAATAAATGTAAACGTTGTGGTAACGTTGTGCCGACGTTGAACTAGTACTACAACAAAGTAAAAGCTTCTACGACATCGAATAAACGTTGTCTTGTAACCTTATTTTTTGCTTAAGTGATTTTTATGTGATTCGGACAACGTAGTTACAATGTTGGGCAATAAAGAGTTTTCCGACGTCACTTTTAGGACCTATTCCAACGTTATGCAAACGTCGTCTGTTTTATTAATTCCAACGTTGTTTAGATCTTCTTGTTCTTACGTTGGTAGGACGTCGAGCCACTACCTTTTTGCAACTGTATTGAACCATAACCTTTAAATCTTAAATTTTCACTTCATTGTTCTGTTCAGTCAGACAGTTTGGTGCTGTTTTTGTTTTTATAAAAAAAACTTAATTAAAATGGGACATAAGAAAGGTACATATAAAACTAAATTTAAATATACATCGACATATTACCGATACTTTATCCACTCTCTCGTTTATTTAGAACATAGAGGGCGGCACAAGCTAGACTCTAGGATGACTAAATTAGGCAATCTTGCGACTAGTATACTACCTGTTAAGGCTGAACTGCGACTTTATTAGTCCAGTATGCGACTACTCGAACTACTCCATGTTAATCTCCAAAACAACAAAGTGAAAGCCGCCATGTTGTTGAATAAGAAAATGTTTTGTTCCTAAAATAGCAATTCCCGCTTTTTGAATACATTAACTTGAAATATTTGACCCTAAGCAACACGCGGAAACAATTTTTTCGACTGTGAATAAATTATCCTCATTTTACTACAAAAAAATTCAAGAAATTGTTTAAAACTTCTTTAATTTTAAGGCCCATTAGTATTTTTCAAAGTAGAAACAATATATTTATCAATAAAGTTGTTTGCGTTTAAGTTTTTTGCCTTGGGTAACGAGTTACAGAGTCGGTTAAAGTGTTTCAATAATTATGATTTTCAAACATCCTCCACACTTAAATTCTTTTGTTTTGTTTTCCTTTACTGCCATCTGGCACATGTCTCTAACTAAATCATAGAAATAATATTTTTACTATAATTATCCCAATTTAGGATAAAACGCGACTTAAACGCCATATTATTATAGTTTTGTATTTCTGTGAATTAGGATTTTAAACAACGTTGCAGTTTGTACTAAATTAGGCTGCTAGCCAACGTCGGTATCCAACGTCGTTTCGACCCAAAAATTATTGTCCAAACTAGTGCAGACTAGGGTTGGCACGAGGTTGTGCCGACGTTGCGTCCCGACGTTTTGTCGCGTGACACAACGTTGTCCCGACGTCCAAATGCTGCTTGGGTATTAAGACATCCAGTAACCTGTTTGCTCTTCTGAATTCGCGTTTGTATTTCTTCTTTGCGCAAACCCTCGTTGTTGATAGTAGCACCCAGGTATATAAATTTGTCTACTTGTTGAATCTAGACGTTAACATTAATGAAGACTTCAAAACAAGCGTTAGAATTGACAGCTAAGTATTCCAGCTTTTTTTACACTAACTTGAAGTCCTCATTTGTTATATTCTTGATAAAGACTTTTAGTTATGAACTCCCGATCGTATGAGACCTGCCCAATCAGAACCTGATCGTCTGCAAAGCTCAATGGGTGCTCTCTACCAATGGGTATTCCCATACCTTGGCCATATTTTCTAATCACAATCCTTACATGATTAAACTTTGTTATAGATTCTAGATCAAGAATTTCAATTTTTCCTGTACTTGGCCAAACCCTATGCCTCTATGATTACTGGCGGCGCAGAAAGAACAAGAATAGCTGCGTGGTTGCAAATACTGTGTTCAATATGCGGAAATGAATGCTGTTCCCATATGAAAGCGATTAGAAATGATTATATGATGGCAATGCTAGGGTAAGGTGTCTTTTGTTTATCATTAGGTGATCCATATGGAGTATGTTTGGCCCTCTGTTTTAGACCTGCTCGGTGTTGAGATTTGAACACCGGTGATAGATGTTGATGACCACCGGTGTTTCAGTCGGTGTACCGGTATCAACACCGACATCGGTGTTTATCTCAACACCGGTGTTCGTTTCAGCACCGGTGTTCATCTAAAACACCGGTGTTTATCGCGACACCGTTGTTTATCTCAACACCGTATCGGTGTGGATGTCGATGGTGCCGTTTTTTTGTTTTTTTTTTAGTTTTTTTTAATCGTTTCAAAATTTAAATAATTTTCATTCAATTTTCACAGATAATGTATCTATGTTGCCGCTATAAGAACAAATACTAAAAACAGAATTAAATAAATGTTTATAAATAAAAAAATACTTTCACTAAACATTATCTTTTAAGTAAGAATTTTACATAGAATATTTCAAGTCCTCGGTGGCCGCGTGGTTAAAGCGTTAGGACTTTACGCTGCTTTGACGTTGGAGCCGTGGTAAGGCAGGTTCGAACCCTAGTAAAGGCAATTTTTTTAATCGTTTTTTTATTTTTACATATTTTTACATATTTATTTTTAATTTATACATATTTTTTATTGATTAATACAATTTTTAGTAATGCGTTTCTTCATTTTTTTTTAATTTCTTATACGCGCATTCAAAGTTTCAGCTAAATCGAAAAAAAAGTTTATAATAATATAGTGTTAAATGTTGTATAGATAATGAATGGTACGGAACCCCTCGTGCGCGAGTCCGACTCACGCTTGACCAATTTTTTTCAGTATATTATTGTAGCTTTCTATCTCATTTTATCAGGTACCTCATAGATTTGAGAGCAGTGGGCCCATTCGCACAATACCCCTCCTGGCAGATGCTGAAACCACTGGCCGAAGTCGCCCTCGCCGCCGCTGACAACTGCCAGGTCACCGATCCCACCGGTTGCTACGCCAATGATTTTCTGGCCGAACAGCCCGTGCCAGACGACGGGGCTTTCTGCTATATCGCCCTAAGTGGTGATTTGGTATCCAGAAATATTGCGCCCAATTGATTATGTGTCTTAATTTAATTTGTATATTTCGGTGTAATAAAAATCAAAGTGTTTTCATGTATTTAAATGTGATGAAAATGTCATAAGTTGACATATGATATATCATTCTATTCAGAGTGTCATTTTCTATCGAATAAAGCAGAAATATACCGAGGGTGCCATTTCAAAATCAAAAATTGTAGTCATTTCCGGTAAAACAGGAAGTGACTAAAACACTTGATTACGTCAATCAATTCTAATTTATGTTATATGTACTAACATACCAAATCTCGTTTATTTATCTGAAAAATAAAAATGTTATAGGGGTGAGCTAAAAACAGTTTGTTAAAAAAACCATGAAAATAGGTCTAAAAATAAAAACAAATATAACGATAAATTTGGCGAAAAACTTTCCCGTGTGGTAAAAATGAAAATGATACACCCTCTTCGTCATAACCGCCACCATCCCTTGCCTACAGGGGTGACTTTTACCGCCGATGCCCTTCTATGAAAATAACTGTCATCTATTTCGCAGATAAGATCGTAATTGAATCGGCTCGGCGGCCGATTTGCACACAGGCGCTGTCGTGGAATGTGTATACACTATTATTTCGAAAACGGGCGGGAGAAATATTGCGAAACGTTTGGGCCTTTTGTTCTGGCGAACGGACAGGGCTAAACGTCGCCAATTTCGGGGTCGAATAATAAATATCAGACGATTAATCGCTAAATGGAATACTTTTTTTGTTTTTTTTTTCCGGTAGGCGGTTGGTTGTTAAAAACGATACAAAAAATAATTCCACAATCGCAAACGGGTTTTCGCACCAACCGGCACCGTCGATTCCATATTTTCCATCCGCCAACTACTAGGAAAAAGTAAAAGAGAAGCAGTCCAAACTTTATGTTGCATTCATCGACCTCACAAAAGCCTTCGACTCTGTGAACAGAGATGAAAAAGTTCGGAGTACCCAACAAATTTCTTACAGTGTGTAAAAGCCATAACAACAACAAGTCAAGAGTGTCACATTATGGGTCACTGAGCGATCCCTTCCTAACAAATACAGTATATATATACAATACTTCAACATATTCATGGCAGCGCTCTCCATTATAGTGAACTGCATGAGAGATGATTGGGCATTAGAAACAGATACGATGGCGCGGCGGTCTGTTCAATATAAAAAGACTCAGGCAAAAACACGTACAAAATTCATCACAGAACTTCAATACGCTGATGATTGCGCTCTAGTTGCAAAAATGTTACAGTAATTACAAGAAATGTTGAACACATATACCTGGGCATACGAGGCTTTGGGTCTTAAGCTAAACATCGACAAAACTAAAATCATGTGCACTCCCCCAGAAGGTCACAACAATGCTATAAAAATCGGAGAAGAACTACTGGAATATGTAGCGGAATTCAATTACCTCGGCAGTTTGATTTCGGAAAAGGCCAATATCGACTCTGAAATTCAGCACAGGATTAGCAGCGCCTCAAGAGCATTCTGGAAATAATGACTTTTCTGTGACTGAAAAGCCCGATACGTGATGTTATCTGTCTACCACACTCCAGACACTGAAAAATCTCATTGCTTTGTTACCTCTTTACTTTTTGGTTGTTGCTGTTAACTGACTTCATAATTCTTCTACATTCCGTTCTATTGTGAGCTGCTTCTGTCCACTCATTCTGCTTGCTAATTCCCTTTAAGTTTTCGTGGAAAATATCCTTGTACCTTTTGAGTTGTCCACCCGGCCTCCTCTTACCGTCTACAAGCTCACCGTAAAGCAGAGATTTTGGTACGCGGTTTTCTTGCATTCTGCATACGTGACCAGCCCATCTGAAGCGGGACTTTTTAATCATGATTTCAATACTCTCGCAGTTAGCTTTTTTAAGGACCGATACATTTGAGACATGATGTCTCTAGCTATACTTGTTAAGTTGTACAGGGTAGGTCAAATTTGACGCTTTTAAATGGAAACACCCTTTTCTATAGGAGATAGGCGAAAACTAATATCGGTGTCGGGAGCTCAATTTTCACCAGAAACATCATGGTGAAAAACGCATATCGATATCTGTTACCGTTTCAGAGTTACAGTTTTTCAAAAATATGCATTTTTAACAAATCGCTATAACTTTTTTGCTATGGAAAATTTTGAATTTTTATGAAAACATTTCTAAAGCAACTTTTTACGTAGAATTTAATGGTTTAAGTATAATTTTTTTTAAATTAATATTTTAAGAATTATCAACAGAAAATTTGATTTTTTATATGGGACACCCTGTATATTTTTAATTTATTGAAAAGAATTTAAAATTACCTTTCCAAAAATATAACACACTTGATATTTTGCTCCATTCCTCTTCGAGATATAGAGTATATAAAGTAGGCTTTGAACGACACCGGCTGTAATGCAATAAAATTCTAGCTGTGAGCATCAATTAAAACGAAAATAATATTTGCTATGAGAGGTGCAGAATTTTATAACAATTTAAAATATATTTAACCAACATCAACACATTTGAACTATATCTAATAACAATAAAAATAAATAGCAAACCAAGACATGAGATTTTGCTACAGGTGTTCGACATATCGACCGTCTTCTGTTATGGACAGACGGGACAGTTTTTGAACATTTCTCGCGGAATTCATTAACTCATTGGGGGTGAAAGATACCCTCTCATAACTGCTAAGTATTTCTAATTCTTGTCTAGATTATACGGAAGAATAAGGAACCTTTATTCTTCCGCAAATATATCCATAGGATTATATCCATGGGGACTAAGTCAGGCGGCCTTTATGGCCAACGGCTGGGATCTTGATTAGCTATTCAATTATTCCTGAAATTGGCTGCAAAAATTTGCTGATAACTTCAGCGTTCAGACGCGGTGCGTCGTCTTGCTGGAAAAATATGTTTTCGAGTTCCATTAAGGGCATAACATCAATAAGGGGTCCAAAGCCTACTAGTTAAAACTGGAGAACTTTTAAAAATTCTGTATTTCGAAGGGGATTATAACAAAATATCAAGTGTGCTATATTTTTGGAAAGGTAATTTTAAATTCTTTTCAGTTAATTAAAAATATAGGGGTGTCCCAAATAAAAAATCAATTTTTCTGTTGATAACTTATGATAAGTTTTAAAAAAATTATACTTAAACCATCAAATTCTACGTAAAAAGGTGCTTTGGAAATGTTTTCTTAGAAATATAAAATTTTCCATAGGAAAAAAGTTACAGCGATTTGTTAAAAATGCACATTTTTGAAAAACACCCCGTAACTCCGAAACGGTAACAGATATCGATATGCGGTTTTCACCATCATGTTTTTGATAAAAATTGAGCTCCAGACACCGATACTAGTTTTCGTCTATCTCCTATAGAAAAGGGTGTTTCCGTTTAAAAGCGTCGAATTTGACCCACCCTGTACATTGCAAGTTTCGTTTTTGTGCTCAAGTCATGACTGTAGAAAACCCTGTCTTTTAATTTCCAGAATGCTCTTGAGGCGCTGCCAATCCTGTGCTGAATTTCATTAAAAATATGCTTTCATAAATCAGCATTAAGTCATCTTTTTCTTTTTTCATCCTACCATATTAAGCAGTTCTCTTTTAGAGAGGAAAATGTGACTGATATGTTTCTCTTTTCACTTAAGAAGCTCCTACGAAGGAAGCGTTTCCGAAATAAGTGGACCGTGTGCGATACGGCTGAAACTAAGCAAATTTAAATACGAGTTTTGCTCAATGGCCTGTGCCGCAAAAGTCTCTCCTAAATCGGGCCCGCATTTTGAATAAAATAGGTGTTTATATTCAGTTTCGGTTTTTATCTAGTGTAATATAAATTGTGCTTTATGGTCTCCGAGTTATTTATTTAATTCTTTACGTTTGTAAGGAACTCAAGGAAATTAACTAAGTATACTTTTGGTGATATTTCCATTAAAACTTGGCATAAAGACAATTTTGAATTTGATATGATTTGTTGAGAATTTCTTTTCTTTTTTGAGTTTATTATTTGTTTTTATTTTAACTGGTATGAATACAAAGTACCTATATAATTTTGAAGAGAAATGTTGTCCATGGTAATGTATGGATACGACTCACCGTACTCGTAAGGTAACTGGTAGATGAACTCTTTTTGAAGAAAAACTTCTTTACGCGCGTCGGCCTTGACTGACGGCTGCGGGACGGGATGACCTCATGATACAAAGAGTACAAGGTATGATATTGCGCAGCTTGGTCACTACGTCACAGGTGATAAACGGCACCATTGGCCGGCAAGCTCAAATTGTCAAACAGATTGTGTCATCTGTGAAATTTGATTGTGTCAAAATGTGAAAATAATTTTTCAAATGTCAAGCTCGATGTCAAAACATAAGTTTTGGGGTTATGTCCTAATTCTTCCCTATTTTAGGTTTTTTTTATTAGTGGCAATGGAACAATTTGGATATTTTTTTGTATGGCGTATGACGTCACAGGTTGTATGCGCAAACTTAACGAAATTAGAGCCGCTATCGATCATACCTTGTTTTCTTTTTATCATGGGATGACCTTGTCATATGACGCGAAGATCATGCGAAGCATCAGACCAAAAAAGTAATCGTTGACAGGAGATATGCCTTATTTTGCTTATTTTATAGGGTTATGGCACAGGTTAATGGTTGACAGTTTTTTAGTTCGTTTAATTGAATAATTACTAAAACCAGCAGTTCCAAAAATATATTTAAAAATAAAAGATAAAAATCCAAAATATTTATTATCTATTAACATGGATTTAAACGATAATAGGTAAGAACACTGAATTGATTCGAATAACGCTAACATTTGCCTATAAAGTATTGTCGCTATCTTAATTTCTATGAAAATGTGACATCTGGTTTTTCCCATGTAATCTTCAAATGGTCTAAAAATCAGTAGGAATGACCCATTATACAGTAAAGACACTATTGTTGAATTATTGGTTCTTTTGTGAGCATTTAACAAATAAAATCAATTGTCTTATCAAAAACTGAAAATGCAAAACAGATAGTAAGCTTATAAATATCTATACAAATAACCATACTTACGACTATTTATGCCCTACA